CTGTTCACCTTCCCATCGGCTCATTATCTCTCTGCCATTAACAGGCCGCATAATACGCCATACCGCCTGACACCTACTAGCTGTGTAAGAAAGCATGCATCGCACCACCACTTTTCGGGCTTTGCTTTGCGCCCCTCGTGATTCAATGAAGGAAGCTGCCACACCGCCACCATCCATCTTCCCGCAATGCTGGCAACCCTCACGCCGTCGTATTGCGCTTGCTATATACAAGACAATAGCAACATATTCTAAGGAATAATGGCTGCTCTCCGCAATTGAGTGCTGGAGCAACTGACTCCAAAACCGTAGTCGCGCGTCGAGGAGTCGATCACCAGCCTCCCCAACTGACCCTGCACGTATATATACTGACCTTGCGCCTGATTGCATTTGAGTGCATCGACCCAGCTGACTGCACAGCAACTCTCCCCACCGCCTGGCGTTCCCGGTTTTCTCGCCCCTACTGCAAAGCGGGCTTCCGTTCCTCAACCAAGCAAAACCCCTCCCTCGCCATGCTCCTCACGACTAAGCAGATTCCAGCGTCTGTTGCAGAGTGCAGGAGCTGTCAAATTCCCGTGCAAACCTGCCGCATTGAGTGGACACAACATCAGCCGCACCCCTCAATCCATGAAGCTGCCCTACCTGCCACGATTCCGCTCGGTTTAACGCCACCCAGCCAACCTGCCAAACTACACGCTTCCTGAACCGAAGGCAAGGGCAGCAAAATTCAAATCGGAGAGTCTCACCTCCGCAACTCGCCGCCTGACCGACACGCGTGATACGTGATACGGGCGGAGAGTCAAGGTTCAGCCTTCTCAACCGGCCTTCCAGTTCATTTCATTCGAGTATTTCACGCGTACGTCCTGAACAGCCACTCTCCCCACCGCATCGGGTTCCCGGTTCTCTAGCGCCGACTGTAAAGCGACCATCAGGCCGTCAACGCGGCGAAACCGCTCCATCAAGATGCTGCACACGACTAAGCACATTCCAATGCCCGTTAAAGAGAACAGGAAGCTTTCAGTCGTCATACAAACCAGTCGCCTTGGGCGGCTCCAACATCAACTGAGCCTCTCAATCAATGAACCTGACCCAATGGGCACGATTCGGCGCCACTCAACTTCACCCAGCCAAGCTGCCGAACTACACACTTCCTGAACCGCCGGAAAACGAAGCAAAATTCAAATCGCAGAGTCTCACCTCCGCAACTCGCAGCCTGAAGAACTTCCTTCGAGACTCTACTGGCACGCCAAGCACTAAGTGCCCACCCTTCTCAACCGGCCTTGCACTTCGTTTCACTCGAGTCTATCAAGCGTACAGCCAAACCAGCAACTCTCTCCACCGCCTGGGATTCCCGGTTCTCTGGCCCCGACTGCAAGGCGACCATCGGATCCTCAACGCGGCGAAACATTTCCTTCCAGATGCTGCACGCGACTAAGCATATTCCAACGCCCGTTGAAGAGCAATGGAAGCCTTCAGTCGCCATTAAAACAAGCCGCCTTCGTGGGCTCCAACATCAGCCGCACCTCTCGGTGCATGAAACGGACAAAATTAGAACGATTCAGCTCCCCACAAAGCCGCCCATTCAAGCTACCCAACTGCACACTTTCTGAAACAGCGCGATCCGCAGCAAAATTCACATCGGAGACTCTCACCTCCGCAACTCGCCGCCTGACAAATTCACTTCAAAACTCTACTCGCATGCCAACGAGTCAACCTTCAGCCTTCTCATCGGGCCTTGCACTTCATCTCGTTCGAGTCTATCAAACGTACAAGCTGAACAGCAACACTCCCCACCGGTTGGGGTTCTCGCGTCTCTAGCACCTAGTGCAAGACGGGCTTCGCCTCCTCAACAAAACAAAACCTCTCCCTCGCCATGCAGCACAAAACTAAGCATATTCCAATGCCCGTTGAAGAGTGCAGGAGTTTTCCAGTTCCCGTGCAAGCCTGCCCCATTGAGGGGACTCAACATCCGCCCCACCTCTCAGCGCATGAAACTGCCCCAACTACCGCGATCCCGCTCGATTCAACGTCACCCAGCCACGTTTCCGAACTACAGGCCTCCTAAACCGCCGGCAAGCGTAGCAAGATTCAAATCGGAGAGTCCCACCTCCTCAAGTCGCCGCCTGACCAGCTCACTTCAAAACTCTACTCGCACGCCAAGGAGGCAACGTTCAGCCTTCTCAACCGGCCTTGCAGTTCATTTCATTCGCGTCTGTCAAACGTACAGCCTGAACAGCAACTCTTCCCACCACCGGTGGATCCCGGTTCTCTAGCATCTACTGCAAAACGGGCTTCCGTTCCTCAAAAAAAAAAACCTTTCTTCTCCATGCACTTCGCGACTAAGAATATTCCAATGCCTGCCGAAGAGTGTAGGAGCCTTCCAGCTCCCATCCAGCCTTGCCGCATAGAGGGGACCCAACATCAGCCGCACCCCTCAATCCACGAACCTGCCCCACCTCCCACAATTCCGCTTGGTTCAACGTCACCCAGCCAAGCTGCCGAACTACACTCTTCCTGGACCGCCGGCAAGCGCAGCAAAATTCAAAACGCAGAGGCTCACCTCCGCAACTCGCCGCCTAACCAACTTACTTCAAAGCTCTACTCGCACGCAAAGGAACAAGTTCAGCCTGCTCCACCGGCGTTGCAGTTCATTTCACTCGAGTCGATTAAGCGTACATCCTGAGCAGCAAGTCTCCCCACCGCCTCGGGTTCCCGGTTCTCTAGCCCCGAATGCAAAGCGACCATCAGATCCTCAACGCGGCAAAACCTCTCCATCTAGATGCTGCAAACGCCTAAGCATATTCCAATGCTCGCTGAAGGAAGCTTTCAGTCGCCATACAAACAAGCCGCCTTCGTGGGCTCCAACATCACCAGATCCTCTGATCAATGAAGCTGACCCAATTGCGACGGTTCCGCTCGATTAAGCGTCACCCAACCAAGCTTCCGAACTACACACTTCCTGAACAAGCAGGATGCGCAGCAAATTTCACATCGGAGACTCTCACCTCCGCAACTCGCCCGCTGACCAACTCGCTTCGAAACGCTACTCGCACGCCAAGGAGTCCATCTTCCGCCCTCTCAACCAGCCTTTGCAGTTCATTTCATTCCACTCTATCAAACGCTTAACATGAACAGCAACACTTCCCACCGCCGGCGGTTCCCGCTTCCCTAGCCCCCACTGCAAACCGGGCCTAGCTTCCTCAACAAAACAAAACCTCTCCCTCGCCATGCTCCACACCACCAAGCA